TTTTTTGAGACAGAGTCTTGTTCTGTCACCAGGCTGCAGTGCAGTGGCGCGATCTCAGCTCACTGCAACCTCTGCCTCCCTGGTTCAAGTGATTCCCCTGCATCAGCCTCCTGAGTAGCTGGGACTACAGGCGTGTGCCACCATGCCCGGCTAATTTTTTCTTATTTTAGTATAGACAGGGTTTCACCATGTTGGCCAGGATGGTCTCAGTCTCCTGACCTCGTGATCCACCCACCTCAGCCTCCCAAAGTGCTGGCATTACAGACGTGAGCCACCATTCCCGGCTAACTTGTTTTTTCTTAAAAGAACCTTCAGTAAATATTTGGTTTCTGTGGCCTCAGCTATAATTCAGATTACAGTTTTCAAAGCAGTGTTTCCTGAAGTTGTCTGTGCGAAATTGTTTTCCATGACTTGAACCTAGCTGTTCTGAAGCTAATATATAATAATAATGGCTTATCCCCAGTTTGTAATAGAAAACCGTACAAAGTAACAGACTATTAGATGAGGGATGCAAGGAGAAGGACAAGGGCTGAAAAAGTAACTATTGCATACTGTGCTCACCTTCTGGATAATGGATACATTTGTACTCCACACCTGAACATCAAGTAGTATCCCATGTAACAAATCTGCGTATGTACCCACTAAATCTAAAATAGATGTTGAAAAAAAAATTCTTCCATATCAGCAATAATCAAATTGAAGGTGTAAAACTGTAATAAAAATTGAGACACTACAAAGTATCTTGTAGTTAAGCTACAAAAAAAAAAAATCCTAAAACCATCTCTATAGAAAATTTTAGGTATTGATCTTAAAGGAAATCCAAATAAGTGGAGAATTATCATGTTAATGGATGTGATAACAATATTAAATTACATTATTTTTCCAATCTAGTATGGTCATTGATTTTAATAAAATATTTGATTCTAAAATGTGCGTATAATATTAATTTTTAATAAATAATGATTAATTTTTTTTAATGCAGAGGGTTGGACTTGCCTTATCAGACATCAGAACTTATTACAAATATATGGGGAAAAATGCAGTTAACTGGTGAAGTTTTAGTTTCCATTAAGAAATACTGGATCTGGCCAGGCGCGATGGCTCAGGCCTATAATCCCAGCACTTTGGGAGGCTGAGGAGGGCAGACCATCTGAGATCAGGAGTTCAAGACCAGCCCTGCCAACATGGTGAAACCCCCTCTCTACTAAAAATAAATAAATAAATAAATAAATAATTTGCCAGGCACAGGCGTGGTGGCGGGTGCCTGTAATCCTAGCTACTCGGGAGGCTGAGGCAGGGAGAATTGCTTGAACCTGGGAGGTGGAGGTTGCAGTGAGATTGCACCACTACCCTCCAGTATGGGCGACAGAGCGAGACTATGTCTCAAAAAAAAAAAATGCTGGATCTCACTGGCAATGGAAAGGGAAAGGAAAGTTACTGATGACAACATATTACTAATGGTAAATAAGCACATGAAAAGATGCTCAATATCATATGTCATTAGAAAATTGCAAAGCAAAACAATGAGATGCTGCTACATAGCTATTATAATGGCCAAAATCCAAAATACCAACACTACTGAGTGCTGGTAAGAACAATGAGCAGAAATAACTCTTACTCATTGCTAGTGGGAATGCAAAATGGTACATCCACTTTGGAAGACAGCTTAGCAGTTTCTTACGAAACTAAGCTCACTCTTAGTCTATGATTCCATAATTGTGCTCCTTGGTATTTGCCAAATGAGTTGAAAACTTATGCCTACACAAAACATGCCACAAATGTTTAGACCAGTGTTATTCATAATTACCAAAACAGAAACAACCAAGATACCTTTCAATAGGCAAATGGACCAACACTCTATTGTGTAGCCACACAATGGAATATTAATCAGTTCTATGTAGAAAAAGAGCTATCAAGCCACAAAAAGGCATGAAAGAACTTTAAATGCGTATTACTGAGTGAAGGAAGCCAATATGAAAGCCTACACACTATGTGGTTTCAAGTATGTGACATTTTGAAAAAGGCAAAACTGTGGAGACAGTAAAAAGATCAGTCATTTCCAGGGGTTACTAATATGTGGTTACTACAATGTCTTATTGAGATTACTACACAGTGAGAGATTGTGTCTAAGAACTGACATAGTCTTTAATTTGAATAACAACATTGAATACAATATTCGTGTATTTAACTATAAATTAAGAAAATAAGTTTTTCATATAAATTGTTTATAACACTTTATTAAAATAACACCCACATCAATCCTCATCAGTTCTGAGGCCCACATAATAATTAAAGGCCTCCAGCAGGTCCAATTTCATTCATTCCTAGAACTAATGAGTTTCACGCTTGCAGGCCATGAGTAGCAGTTCTTCAACCGACAATGAGATCTAGAAAGAGAAAGATGTGCTCTATTTCTTTGTGACTAGTGTCCTAAGTCATGGAGACAGAATCATGGACTTGGAAGTAGCATCATCTTCCAGGTTGCTGTGTAACTCACATTCCCAAGGAACAGACTGTCTCGCAAACCCTTTGGTCTCCATCCTTGGGATTTCTTTTTCTCCTGTACATTTTGTTTCTCTTTTTTTCTAAATCATTTTTTCTTTTTCCAACCAATGATGTTTGTCCTTTTGTCCTCGGACTGGATCTCATTTATCTTTCTGGGAATAGCGCCATCTCTAAAGACTCCAGGTTAACCCACTTCATATCTAATCATTCCAGTCTAGACAATAAATAATGAAGTGTCAGTCAACATTCCCAGGGCCAGATCTTACCTCATACCTGGGGGTCATAACTCTCTTGACTACATTGGGTTTTGTCCTACTTTCCTCATTCTTGGCTGTGTGTATTTTGTCCTATCCTGGGAATAAGGAGAGCAGTGAAGAGCCTTCTCTTGCATTTCAGTATTAACTCTACTCCCACATTCTTCCCAGAAAGCCAGGAAATGCAACGCCAATGTTTTCCATTCAGTTTATATTGCATGTATAATTAACATTTGTGTTGAACATGAATAAACTGAAGATTTCTTGAAATAGAAACAATTTGATAGAATTTTATGGGTACAGTGTATACAATCCATGTCCAATAAGTTACTGACATCTAAACTTGTTATAGATTTTTTGTTCCATCATATACTAATTCAGTATTTCTATTGCAATAAAACTAACATTTGTTAGTTATAATTTGTTCTTGATAAGCCTTTTTCTGTGTTTTGCTTATGCTTCCATTATCTTCTAAATGAGCACTTTTGTGTATCTAATTTAGAAGTGTTACATTAAGAACAGTAAGAGAAGAAAAAAAGAGTAAGAGAAAATCCTTTAATCTATATTTCTGCTAAAATAAGTATAATAACGTGTGCTCCACCACATGTAGAGGTTCACAAAACATAAGCAAGTGTGAATATCTTTTCATAGCCACTGATGAAGAAATAGAAGGGCTCCTATTACATGCACTGTAACAAACTATAAAGTCATAAACACATACTCTTCAAAGTAGCAATAGGCACATCAGGGAGAGAGAGAGAAAGAGAGAGCACAATGTTGCTCCCAGAAGACGCTGAATTTATTGCTACCACTGAAGACGTTTTTGGAAGGGATGAAGCTTTTTGCTAACATACACAATAACAACTGCAAAAGGAACAGGACCTGGAATCTTCAGTTGAATCAGTCTATTTATAATCTCATGTAAGATTGGTAGAGACAAAACATAGGTCATTGCTTTGTCATCATTCATTAACTCACTCAAAACACAAATAGATGCACACTATGCTAGACACTGGGGTACAAATGGTTACAACAATCCCTCAAGTTTCTCAAAGCCAGTGGGAGAAATAGGCATATAAACAACAAATATCATTCACTGTGATATTGGACACTTGAAGACTGCCTAATGGACTGTGGGACTACAATAGTACTATCAATTTGTCCTAAGAAGGTCACTCACGGGGAAGTGAAAACTGAATTCCATCACAGGCCAACAGGGAAAATGCTATTCCAGATGGCAGGAACATTGTGAGCAAAGTTAAGGATTAAGGAAAAAATATAAGTATAAAGAGATGAAAGTAGAGCCACGTTGTTCAGTACAAAGGGTGGAGTATTC